GCTCATGGCTTGTGCTTGTCACCCAAACGTTAGTAGTTGAAGGCCACTCACTGGCATCGCAGAAGAAGCTGCCCTGCAGCCCTCCAGTGCAGGCCACAGCTGCAAGGTGACGAGAGCAGCCGTGATGTAACGTGCAGGGTCGTGAGCAGGACACGGCACCACGCTTCCTGCGGTCCCTCCTCCTGTCCTCTTCTCACCACAAGTACATCTTTGTATGTTCTTCTTTGTAAATTTCACTATTGAGATTTCTTTTCCCTGATCTGATAGCAGTCTCATTCTGTCAGCCCATTATGTGAGAATAGCTCCAGTACCACTCTTTCAACATCACCCAACCTTTCTAAACCTGTTCTTTTTCAGTAAAGTCTTGATATGAGTTGTTCCAAGGGAAGTTTCCTAAAAGAGGAATTCTCAGAACAGAAGGCGTGGATATTTTAAACCTAAAATGTTTGTTATTGTTGTTAGGTTCCGTTGAGTCAAGTACACCTCCTAGCGACTCTGTGAACCACAGATCTGAACCTGTCCTGTCCTGCGCCGTCCTCATCATCCCTGACACGCTTGAGCCCATTGCTGCGGTCACTGTGTCCATCTCATAGAAGGGCCTCTCTTTTGTTGACCTTCCACCTGTCCAAGCACCATGTCCCTCTCCAAGGAACAGTCTCGCCTAGCAGCACACCCAAAGTATGGAAGTTGGCCTCTCTTTGGCATCCTTTGCCTCTGAGGAGAGCTCTGGTTTGACATTCTCCTTGGGACATTTAGTAGTCCTCTCCAGCACCACAGCTCAAAGGCATCAGTTTGTCTCCTGTCATCCTTATTCACTGTCCAGTTCTCAGAGGCATAGCCTATGATTGGAAAGACTCTGGCTTGAATCTGGCCAACCTTTGCCTTAGACTGGTATCATTGTTCACCAGGGTTTTGGAGAGGCCCCTCACAGCTGACTTTCCGAATGGTATACATCTCCAGATCTCCTGACTCCTGGTACAAACGATGTTGGCTGTAGATCCAAGCAAGATGGAATAATCATTGACAATGTCCGTCTTCTCTCCATCCGTCATGATGTTGCCCATTGGCCCAGTGGTGAGGATTTTTGTTGTCATGTTGCGATGGAAACTACATTGAAGGCTGCAGTCCTTGATCCTTTACGGCAATCACCTCGAGTCCTTGCGAGCAAGCAGGGTTGTGTCATCTCCATAATGCAGGCTGAGTCCTCCTCCAGTCCTGATGCCGCGCCCTTCTTCATAGAGTCCAGCTCCTTGAATGATTTGCTCAGCATACATTGAGAAAGGATACAGCCCTGGTGCACATGTCGTGTTCCCCTGCTCTGTTCGGACAACAGTTGCTTGGTTTAGATAGAGGTTTCGTATAAGCCCAGGTGCTAACTGTGGAACAGGCCATCAGTTACTTATGTACAAGTTCAAATTGAAATTGAAGAAAATGAAAATAAGTCCTCGAGAACCAGAGCACAACTTTGAGTCTATCCCACGTGAACTTGTGAAGTAATCTCAAGAGTAAGTTTGAGGCATTGAACAGTAATGATCGAAGAAGACCTGATGAGCATGAGATGACATTGAGATCTCAGCCAGGAAGAAAGCAAGTCATTACAAAGACAAAGGAGAAAGAAAAACCCAACATGGATGTCAGAAGAGACTGAAAATTGCACTAGAGCATCAAGAGGCTAAAGCAAAGGGAAGAGATCCTGTAATAAAAGAGATACGTAGAAGATTTCAAAGGGCAGCTAGTTAAGACAAAGCAGAGTCCTGTGACGGGATGTGTAAAGAGCTGGAGTTGGAGAATGAAAAAGGAAGAACTTGCTCAGCATTTCTCAGGTTGAAAGAATTGATGAAAACCTGAAGCCTCGAGTAGCTACAGCCAGCTGCTGTGGGGGAAACGTGGGTGATCCAGGAAGCAACAAAAGAAGATGGAAGGAATACACAGTGTCACTGTATAAAACAGAATTAGCCAGCACTGGGATATTCAGGAAATATAGCTAATGTTAGATGATCTTGGCAGAAAGCAAAGAATACCAGAAGAATGTCTATCTGTGCTTCATTGAC